GTATTTGGATCACGTGATTATGTTCGGTGTGAACGAAAGAATACAAGTGATAAAATATTGACAATTTATAAAATATATCTTATTACCATTATATACATTTCGAATATTTACATATTGTACATATTTACATAAATAATATACATATGTTCAAAAATGAAATCGGTATTGATATGGCATTACAAATGTAGAGATAAAATATAAGTAGGGCAATTAAACACGAGCCTATTAAAGCTTATGGTGCATTTCAAGCAAAATATGTTTTCAAATGAACCCAGGATCATCGATTTATAGATGCCATTTCAACAGTTCTATGAAAGAATGAAGATCGAAAGAAAAATAATCATAACAAGCACGTATTTACATTAATTGTAATAGAAAACAGAGAAGAAAATCGTACAAAGCAATATAAGCTTCTCCTTAAAAAAAGCTGTTGCTTTAACTTTCCAAATCTGAAATGGATTTAGAATGATTATTTTCCATCCATCCATCAATCAATCAATCAATAATATCTCGTTAGCTGTTGTTTGTGTTAACTCTTATCATGCCACAGGGCTAATCCCCATTGTGCCAAGCCCCAAATCCCCCGTGCCAGGTTGTTTTGGAGATAGTCTGATTAACGCGATGGTTCTCTGAATAGCGAGTGCAACATACACAGCACAGTCCAATGAGCATGAACAATAATTGCTATTACGAATGCTGCATTGCACGCACATGTCACTCAAGGGGTGGCTCCCTCGCATGTACAAAACACTATAACGATAGCGTGCATGATTTAATGCATCCAAAACCTACGCTCATATTTTAGAAAAAGAGTTAACCAAGTAGCAACGCCTTCTGCTAAACCTTTTGCTCCAGGTTATTTCGTTCCATCAGGTTTTCGCTTCAGGTAGGTTGTCGTGTTTCATGCGCGATCTCGAAAACATACCCCTATATTCACGAAAGGTCGGGTATTAAATGTAATACAAATACTCTCATTATTTCAAAGATAGTACTTAAAATATCCCTGTTCATGGTCATTTGTAAAACATGCCCATACAATCAAAATATGACAAAGTGTCAATCGCTAGCATGTTTACGAACTGCTGTGATTGTTCATCTTGTACTAGTGTCGAGTCTAGACGCAAGTTTTTAAAGGTTTGTACTAGATTTATTAAGACAATGTTTGGTAAACTGGACCCAACACGTTGTCGATGAGAGGGTATATTTCACCATCGTTACACCCGGCTAACGGTTAAAAAGGTTAACGCAAAATGAAGAAAGAAAACCATGAACAAAGATGTATGGCGTATGAAATAATTGTCTTCACAGGCTTGGCTGACGTAGGTAATGACGCAATTGATCTTAAGCTTCGTATAAAAAGGGCAAACCAATCAGTTAAAGAGATAAGGTCGGCTTTTGGGCGCGATGCGAGTCATATTGTAGAAAGAGAATAATGACATGAGCAGTGCACGCCTATATCTCTGACGCAGTGTCGTATATTATCAACCTTCACAGCCTTGATTGACGTAGGTCATAACGCTATTGAAATGACGCATCGTGGAAATCAGACGTAACGTCAACCACACATGTGATGGAATTTGCCTGTTGCAGGACTGCGTCAGCTACTTTCACATCTTAACAGAGACATAGTACAAATGAGGATTTCATAATTATCATTCCACACAATGCGTTAAATTCGTGTCGCATCTTCACTCATTTGATTAGCGAAGGTAATAATACAATCAAAATAATGCCTCGTTTGCATCTGTTATACTGTATCCGGATGAATGTATAGAGCAAAACCCTGTCATCTGCGAACTGATCACCTCGTTATATCGTCAACCCGATATCTATACTCAATGAGGTCGGTTATTCTCCAGTGGTGGATTGAAACTTCATTTGTACACGGCTAAATTATAACCCCGCTTCAAAATTCCCGCGGTATTAAAAGTAAAAATAAATAATGTCAGCCTCTCCATTCAGATGGCTGGCTCTGAATGCTTCTCACAATAACAATCAACAGCCAATCAATTAACAATCAATAACCGATAAACAAATTTAGTCATCGCACTTGATTGACACAATAACCTCGTCCACTTGTCACTGTTTAAATCTGAAAAAATACGAGAATCTCCAATAAAAACACAATATCACGAACCAAATAATGAACGGTGGAAGACTATTGATTGATGAGTCTAATAAAGTCAAACAAGTCGTCAGCTACGAATGAAAGTATAAGGTGTAAAATTAGCGGCTAGAGGTTCAAAGTCATGCCCATCGTCTTACAATTGTTTTATTTCTATTAAAGCGCAAACTAAAAATCAGGGGAAAATGCGGCGGGTGTGATGGCAGAAAAAGATAATCATCTATTTAACAAATGCATTTTCTTTCCTTTAATAAAGAACCTACATAACCAAATTAATTTTGTTATTGTCAATGTCTGATGTTTTTCATCAAGTTATATTCCGTCACTCTCTGAAAGGTAAATTGTTTCATCAGCAATTAAAAGAGCGAGTGTTTTCAAGATTAATTACAAAAATTACCACTCTGGTTGAAATGTTAAAAAAAAACTCGAAACAAAAACAAAAACGTACATTTAAAATAACACGTTTTGATAACGTTTCTAGGTCCTTTTGTAGGATACATACCACATGTGTTTTTTTAGTGGACTATTTGATGTTTTTGAAGTGGACTCTATAATGTATTACGAACACACACAATTTTTCACACGCTACGTACAATATTGCAACATGCTTTGAAAAAAATAAATATATTTCTATAATATGAATATATTTGTTCATAGTAAATATTGCTAGTTCAGTCTTCCACTGTCATTTTGAGCGGATATCTCGTCAATCAAAACACCCCTACATTCAAATGAGCCCGCCCAATCGTCTAATGGTGAGGTAACTGGATTCTACAAACCGGGCAATGTTCTATTCTCACCCGCGGGGATGGAATCGATGCATTTCAAAGAATGTGTTAGAAAACATGTGTATAAAATAAATATTCACAACTTAAAAATATATGTACATCTGATTTTCGTCTTAAAATAAATACTCATATACAAACTGTACGATTTGGTGTCTCAATTTGCACAAAATTGGAAACAAAGTTCCCCACAACATAGTAATGTCAATTTCAGGTGCGAGACCTGCCAAGAGTGTAATGTACAAATCGTCATGTCATTTTAACACAATTTTACATCTCTTTGGTGATGCGATTTTATGAAATAAAAGATCGCATATTACATTTCGCATGTAAGTGGTATATGATTGCATACTTTAGCTACATACAAACATAAAATCCCATATGTTTTCATCAATTTTGTCTCGTCTGTACAGAAAATAGTAATGCATGTTCTCAGATTTCGTTTTTTCTGTAACATATCGTTGAGCTAAACATCGCTCTGCGGCATGTATCTGAGTGGCGGTCGCACCACCGATGAGCATGGAACGAACTCACACGTGTTCGCACATTGTACACACTCTCATGTTGAAATTCTTACAACAAATAATTACCGTGTATAACAATTCGAAATTAAAACTTTGAAACCTCCACAGATGCTTGGTTTTGCCTTCTATGTATCATTTAAATTGGCTTTATCATCGGGTCCTTGCGTCGGGTCGGGTGATCATGTCCTCATCCTTTTGTGAAAACATGCCCCTTTATTCACGAACGTCTGGTTGATATTGGTAAAAAAAACTGATCTTATGAACAAATGGTCTAGTCCAATTCACCCAACTATATATGAAGATCCTACGACAATATCTACTAAAGGTCGCGTCCTTATCGTGCATTTTCACATGACCTTCTGTTTTGCATCCGACCGGGTGTGATGACCCGAAGTAAGCCTTTAAATCGAACTGAATGGCCAACAATATCTGTGTTTCATTTTCCGGCTATTTGTCCAGTAATAATATATTCCATTCAATATCTCATCTAAGAATATGAATTTAGTGGCAGAATTCAAATCATGAAACTTTAACTTATCTCATTATTGATAATTTCTGAAACTGATTGATATTACTTTCAATGCAATATTTTTCAAAAAACTTAAATACAATTTCCTCTAACAACTCTGAAATGAATTATAATTCAGAAAAACAAGTGAGCCATGTTGCCACAAGAAAAGACAAAAAAAGAAAGAAATTGAGACAGACTAGTACCCTTCCAATACAACCACCCATGATCACATTGCTTTCTGCTTCGTTATTAGAATCTTCAAAGACATATGCTAAAGCTTTTTAGATCATGATTCAGGCTAATCCTCAATCGGTTTAACTTATTGAGGCGGAATGATGTGCATATATCGTCACAACCAATCCTATATGGCATCTTCTCAGAACAGAATACCAATGCCTCTCCTTGATCACGCAAACTCTGATGATGTAATTGTAGCGTGACGTCGCAGCTCACTATTACAGATCTTGCAAAGGAGAGGTTTAACCGTTCTCTTCAGTATCAAAAAGCGATTTCCGTCGTTTAACCTGTCTCTCGAATGTGATTCGAGTCCTATGGCCGTTACATATCAAGCATATTATTGCTACCTGAGCAGTCTTGTTAGACATTAATTCAATGTCTGTGAATACCAATCAACATTCTCTATGTTTTCTCACAATCACATAATAAAACGTCTCACATCTAATGAAAGCAACTCATTTACGTAGCTCATATCAATTATCATAACTCTTTATTCAATAATTGATATCAATTTAATCAGATGGCCCAGATAGACTACCTCGTTACATCTCGTTACATCTTCTTGCAGGGCCTTCGTTCGGTCGTTTGTAAGGCTGCCAACTTATGTCAAGATCAATTATACAGAAAGGCTACTTGAAAGTCAATCTACAGAGCCGTCATCACGCTCTGACAGCTTTAAAGCCCCGCTGTCCTATTTGTAGCTACTTGCTCCCTCTATATAGAAAACTTCCCCAACCGGTGCCTGTCGGTCCCTCATGATCCTCTTTTTCTTATGTTAGTTGAGAGCTGAGTTAATGAGATAGCCACCTATCAGTGGCCTCGCTGTGTGGTCTTATCCCTTCTGGCCCAGTAGTATTGACGGTCTTTAAACAAAAATGGTTAGGTACATCGTCTTGATTACTACTCAATCATGTCAATCGAACTCAATTTGGTTCATTCCGCAATAAAGAAAAAAACTTCCATACAGAAACAAGCAAAATGTTATCCTTTCTGTTTTCCAAACATTTCCAGATACTGGTACGGAAAGAAGCCGCTCTTGCGACCGGTTCTGACCTGGCTCCAACCATTATCCTCCGGGGACATCTGGATCACAACCTACGGAGAGATGAAAGGAAGTATACTCCGTATTAATAGAGGAATTGCAAATCTATAGGGCGTTTATGAAGTATCAATATCTACAGAGCCCAAAAATGTAAACCTTGCAGTCAAGAAACGACGTGTGCTTTTGGGTTAGGATTAAAGTTTGTCTGATTTCATTGTCAATTTTTTTTTATTATAAAAAGAGAAAGATCCGATACAAACACTATTATATCCACAATAAAACGCATACAAGAAACAAGCGTCAATAAATAGTTTAAAAAGAAAATAATAGGACATGTTAATATAAAAAAGGAGATAAAGTAGTATTGCAATTACATGAATGTTACAGTGAGAGTTTGATAAAATTCTACTTCGTATTGGCTAGAAAGGGAAAACACACTGCAAACTGATCACCTCGTTATATCGTCAATCCGACAGCTATACTCAACGAGGTCGGTTATTCTCAAGTGTTGGGTTAATAAAGTAAATACAATATATAAGATGTACCCAAATCGAGAAAACAATTCAAAAAAGAAAGAAAAGAAAGATAGAGATACATATTGTCTCTTCTTATCAAGGCCTATGCAATATTCGTTTTATTTGATCAAATATTTAAAAGGTTGGGTTTAGGGTTAAGTAAAGGGTTCGGGATTAGTTAATGTTCAGGGTTCGGGTCAGGGTTTAGATTTTATGATTGCAACCTAACCCTAACCCTAACCCTAACTGTTTATACCTGGCCTTTTCGTAAAGTAAGCCCGTCTTCTTTCTCGTGAGATGCCTTGAAGCTATGCATCACCACCATAACCCTCTCCCAGGGTTGAAGGAACGTGACACAGAACGCAGGAAAGTAGCCAAACCGACCATCGCAGTCACCCTGAAAGACAAATCAAATGAGAATTCAAAAGTGTTTCACAAAAGTCTAAAGGTTACTACTATAGTCAGTATTTGTATCGTCCTTATGATAATGATCATTATTTTCATTATTAAAATCATTATTGCTAATAAACCTATTAATGTCAGTATTACTATTATTGCTATTATTGACATCATTATTATTATCAATCTGTTATAATTTTGGATTTAAACATAAATACAAAGCTAGTTTAATGTAAAACAACTGTAAAGATAATTAGAGATAAAGGAACAAATATTATCTCTTTCTATGGTATTCATCATGCATGACACACGATGGACAGTCCACGATAAAAGCACACCATAACATATCTCAAGGAATAAGGATAATTGATATCTACCTTCCACCAATCCGATCCTTCGTCTTCGGCAACCCTTACTCTCTGACCAGCCCTAAGACAATAAAAAGGACTTTGTTCAAAATATGAAAGCATGAATAAATATAACAGGATCACTTATATAAACTACATTGTTTCCCATACAAGATGGAAAATAAAACATAAAATTAACTTTTCATGAAGTGAAAGTATTTGCGTCAATCTGATTTCCTCTTCGTTAATAAAGTTCTCAGAATTTCATCTATCCATGCTCAAGACATTCAAAGCTGCTATTTACTTATCCAGCGATATGACACGTTGCCAAATGGACTCTGAATATACGCTTCAAACATAATTGAGACAAAAACTGCTCTCCTCTCTAAAGAAACGTATATAAAACAGTTATAGCGATTTTTAAAAGTTTCATTTATTATGCTTCTTTTCTTGTACAATTCGACATGAAATACGTAATATGATAATAGACATCCACAATAGAGGTGTCGGTATAGTTTCAGAACTATTTTCGTAGACTTAAAGGAAATTGATGTATGCTTATATCTTAATCCCTATTATACATTCCAAATAAATCATGTTAGTATTACGTATACATCATTATAATGTTTGTTAATTACATTGATTGACGCACAGGGCTTTTTCAATTGCCGTGGGTTGATTTTCCGTAAGTCTCAGCGTGCGCATCAATGACCTTACCAGGTGAGACTACGTGCATATCATTGCGCGTGTAATTGTGTTTGCGACGGATAAACGCATATGCGCATCTCAGTTGTGCATTATTTCATTAAGCCGTGGGTTATCGCGTTTTGATGGGATTTGTTTTTGCGCACGGTAGGCGTGGAAGGAAAACATGTCAAACGGTCATGTGGTATCATTTGACCAATTGAATCGCCTACATTATAGAACCCGTTTTTGTTTAATAAGAAGGATATCTTACTTCAACGACAGGTCGTCCCGTAACATGCCTTCAAAATCATAGAGACAGATGTACTCTCTCCCTGGCGCTGGGCTGGTTGAGGCGTCCTGAGAAAAACCATATGCAACAAGTATTAACCATGTAAAAACCTTCGAAAAATGTTGCTTGGCTTTACATTCAAATTAGTATATACTTATTTTATAGATCAATATATATAAATTTCGTACATTTATATTTATATAAAACAATATGACACATATGAGTGATTCATGGGATGAGGAGGTAGTGCATTACATATATGCAAATACGGTTCCAAACCAGGTTAAAATGTATAAAATCGCAAACATCGCAACATCGAAATTAAAGGTAAATGAGAAGAAAACAATTCTAGCAGCACTGCCATGTCTTAATGTTTATGTCAGTATACATAGTGTTATACAAAAATGTTCTTTTATCGAGCGTGTGAACAAAATTACAATGTTATAGTTTATTTTATTAAACAAACGTATTTGCTCTCTAATTACAAATTTCAATACAATTTAACGGAGATACTTCTTTTTGCATGCGGACTGTTGATTGGTTATTGATATAGAATTACTATACAAGTGTGTCATGCAGATCCAATGACTTTAGGATCTTAAATAGAAATGATTTGCATTTATAACATGGCATATTTACATTTTATTAATTGAATTATAGATTAGTCATTAATATATCAAAGTGATACATTATAACAACATGTACGCAGTGTTTAGATAATTATCACATACAACAGTGAAGATATTTGAAAGTATGCAAACTCTGATTTTGCATTCTATACGAATTATCATGAAGTATGACATCACAAATTTGACATAAAACTCAACGTCTCAAATGATAAAAACAATTGTAATTAATATATACATAAAAAATCGTTGCCTTTTAACACATCCAGATCTAAATCAAATTATAAATATTACCCATGGGCTTAATTGACGATGCATTTAAGTATTTAACGTATATATTTCTTATGTATTTCCCCCATCATCGGATTTAGGCTATTTTAACACCTTGGCGGAGAGTAGCAAATGTGTATAAAATGTCTTGCCAAAAGGCTTGGATTCGAACCTTAAACCCAAGAGTAAAGAGTCAAGCGATTTAAACACATCGAAATTGTTATTTGTTAGTTGAAATTTAGCACAATACTACGTCGTTTTACAACGTTATAAATACGAAATTGGTGATTGAAATAAAAATTAAACTAGTGAAAACACAACTTATGAAATGACAAAAATCCTGTTTCTTATAAAGTTACTAACACATGCCAGTATATACGATTCGTGCAATTATACAAAAATAAGCAAAACAAGAAAAACGATATAAAGTTTGACTGAAAAGCAAGATAGATACAACAATAGTATGTTAGGCATATGTTGTCTATTGATCAATAGATACAAATATAATATACAGTGCCACGAATTTACATGCGTTTATATTCTAGGCTGAATGAGTGTGCCCCTGCTGTCTGTTTCTCTCTCTCTCTCTCTCTCTCTCTTTCACTGGCATATTTTCTGCCTTCCCCATCAGTATCTCTGTATGTCTCTCCTACAAAGCCACGTACAATCACACTTATTTACACATTTACACCCCAACACCAGCTCTTTATGAAAACAAAAGTTGCACATTTTGATCAGATTTTTAGTCGTCTTTTAATCAGGCAACATATTTTGCTTATTTAGAGGAGGAAACCTCATTCAGCCAGGAATATAAGGTAGCAAATTATGATCTACAATGACCTTGCGAAACAGAAATATAACACTTTGGTTGATACAAAGAAAAAAAGTGGACACAAAGATAATTGTTTTCTCTTTTAGGTCACCTTACAAGACTTGACTGAACTGGATATAATGCGACCAGAATATTTTTGCCGGGACGGTAGGGTTGACGGAAACCGCACATTCATGACGTCAGAGGCAGAAGAACAGTGACGTGGGGGAGTCTATGGTAGCGCAAAGGGGAAAATCATTCTCAAATTCATAGTCATACTCGAGGGTAGGGCTATGCAAAATAACAACTAAACAAAGTATCTCACTTAATTCACACTTCGTCCTGGACAAAACATTATTACGTCTCTTAAACGGTCATGTAATGCTTTTCGAGGTTTAACTTGCAAAAAGGATAGTTGACATGAGGGCCATAACTTAAACTAAATGACAAGTAATAATAATGATCTTGACGGATATATATACACATCAGGGTTTTTGTTACAATGTATACGTACATAACCATAATTTTGTTTTTCTTCTTAATATAAATTAACTTAGAGACATATTATGCCCTTTTAAAACAAAAGTCCATTACTTTCCAGGGAAGATATCAATGCAGGGTTTAGATAGAAATAGGAAAATGCCAACATTAAGACAAAATGAAATAAAAGAACAAATCATGAAAAGAAAAACTGTGATCTCTAAAACACTCGAATGTATTGCAAAGATTCACGACACGTGAAGAAGAGGTGAGATGAAAGAGAAATCACTGCAAACTTGAAATAAAAACTCCCTCTTTTTCAAAGAAGATCATATAATCATTATGGGGTCATTACTCCTAAAGGAAGAGAATGACTGTACAATCTAAAAACACAACTAAAATCCTCTAAGGTAAAACAAAGTATTGTATCATGTTTAGAAGAATAAGAAATCAAAAATTTCAAATAACTCCACACAAACCAAACCTTTTCGTGATATGGCACTTTTCATGAAGTTAATCATTATTGTGTCATTTAAAAGATTCTTGCAGATTACAACGACTTCGACATCCTACATGGGCGTAGAGAAGCAACATCGATATACATATGTATTGCCTTGCTCAAGGACACAATGCCCGCGCCGGGGATCGAACCAACGACCTTTGCATCTTTAGCCAAATGTTTAAACCATAATTTTTTTAATAAAAGTGTTGTCTTTTACGTTGGATAAAAAAGTACTTTGTTGTAATATGTAGATCATACTTACGTTTTCGACAGGAGTCGGTGGTTCGCTCTTTCGTCCATTAGTACTTGGTTTATGTGCTGGTAAACAGTAATGTAGAGAATTATGTTATTAAACTGTTCCATTTCAGACAAGGAGAAAGTGTAGGAAATCCAAAATCCAGGAATCTCCGCTAAATATGTTAAAGCCCCAATGCACTACTTAAAGCTACTTGTGCCCTCTATATAACAAACAATGTCTAATCGGTGACCGCTGGTTCCCCATGATTCCCTTTTTATTATGTTAATTGAGAGCTTATTTGATGAGATATCCACCTGTCAGTGAATGCTGAATAGTCTCACCCCTCCTGGCCAAATTAGTGCAGAAGGGCTTTGACATTCGCAAGTTATATATGTTTATTGAAAATGCGACAGAAAAAATGCAATGGTCGGTGTCAGGTATCATCATGTATCCATCAAGAATTAAATACTTTAGTTTAGCATTCTAAACGAGACGTAACAATATCTGATTACGGGAATATGTATTATTATCAAATGTTGGAATTTCCAATGAAGTGAAATCATCAAAATTGGAAAAAAGAATTGGAAAATGATTCGTTTGTTTGGAACCACAAGAGCGTTGATCCTCATACTTTATTAAACGCAGCGGTAACACCCTGCTGGCACCTGCTATACGAATTTAGAGAATATTTGTAAAGATTACTCACATGGTTCCGTATAAAATGACAAAATGTTTCGTCAATTTGGAACTAAAAGGGCGTTGATTCATATACTTTAAGGCAGAGATAACACCCTTCTGTCTCCAAATTAATTAGAGAATATTTTGTGAAGATTACTCACGTGGTTTAGTATGAAAATGACACCAAATAATTCGTCTATTTTGAACTTGAAGAAACGTTAATTCCCATAATTTAAGGCTTAGTTAACACCCTTATGTTTTCAAATTTAGATGATATTTTATAAAGATTACTCACATGGCTCTGTATCGAATGACATGCTCTTCCCGTAAGACTGGAGTATCTTCCGCCTAGACTCCTCGCCTGCCTGGTTCGGACTGGTGGTGGACCGGACACGGGGGCGTCCCACGTAGGTGGGTGTGGGTGTGGAGTAGGTGGAGGGGGCGGCAGACGGTAAAATAAAAACACGATTTTCACGAGTCTGATTAATGTCATGGTGGAGAGGGGAGGAGAACTGACGACCCAGGCTACCGTACTGGGTCTTGACTACGGATCTAGGGAAGGTAACGCCCGTTGAGGTGGGCAGTGGAATGTAAAGGGATGTAGTGGAGTACGGTGGGGTGCGGGGGAGGGTGGTGCAGGGGAAGGGTGGTGCAGCGGGTGTAAGTGTGTGTGTGTGTGTGTGTGGGGGGGGGGGTTTACGGTGATGGTGGCCATTGTGGAAGGAGTAACGTTGTGTTACAGTGAATTTTAGATGCAGATACGAAAAGAACGAACATGTACCACGAGTGGAAGAGAAAACATACTTCAAAAGGTGACAGTTAATTTGCATTCCATACGACAGATGCCGTGATGAAAGAAAGTGAATACAACACCGAACACATGGAATATACAAAGTACCATATGACAGTGTTAGAGTATAAAGACATGCATGTGAAAATGTAGCAGTACAAATACATGCATGTGACAGTGTGACAGTACAAATACATGCATATGACAGTGTGACAGTAAGAAAGACATGCGTGTGACAGTACAAAGACATGCATTGGACAGTGTGACAGTATAAAGACATACAGGTGAGAGTGTAACAGGTAATACATGCAGTGATCGGTGTTGGAATACCCCACGAATTTCCGTAAGAATTAAATCATTTTAATATACTCAACGAGACGAAATTATACTCCCATGGTTAAGCAGAAATACGTATCATCATATTATTAGTTTAAGTTCAAAAGCAAAACAAACATAAAGGGATATTTAATTTGATGACAAAAACAAGTCAATAACACAAATGAAGAAAAGTCAAATGGCAAGTATCAAGGGCTTACTTTGATCGTAATAACCCAAAAGTGGATATTAATTTGGTAATGCCATACATTAACAAAAAATCTTATTTACCATGATGGTCGCAGTATGTTTCTAAATTATTGTTACATCACACAACGAGAATTATTCATTAGAGAAGAAGAGGAGATGTTATACTTTTTTTTAAATTGGGATTCGACATTTAGAATGAATGTTTGACGATATTTTAAGATAAGTGTTTTGCGTACATAAGTCGTTGAACAAAAGAATATAAATACATGAAAATAAATGTATAGTGTAGTGGTGATGTAAGGAAATCAAAATGCAAAATTGAAAAAAAAAGAAATGCATTTCAAAAACAGTTTCATAGACATGCCATCAAAGAAGAGAAAGGAAAATGGGTGAAATCAAAACCAGTACAAGTTAGTGGAGTGATTCTTGGTACAAAAGCGTGACAATAAAAATTAATTAGTTTAGGGAGTATTAGGAATGAACAATCATATTTCAATTTAATGTTAAAAAACACCAAATCATAGTAAATCAATCACGCAATTGAAGTAATATACTAAATCGAATTGTTTTTGTCAACACGCAACAAAACAAATTTTAATCGAAATAAGTTATGATGGTATTAATAATATTGTACTTATTATAACACCATAATTTGTTTAAGTTAAACAATTAAGTTTAAAATAAAAATGGAAACGGGGAGGGAAAAAAAGAAATATCATTAGCTCTGAAAGAATTGAATATTAATTAAATATGTACATTCATAGTAATCATCAGAACTTTCTTAGGTTTACAAACATCTTCCATATTTCACACAAGCAGTTAAAGTATTGATGCAATTTAGGAATAATGCATGGTAAAACAGTAAAATATAGGTGCAAGAGTGTTTTGGTTTAATAGTCGTATTCTTATCATGCTTGTGAATTTTATTTAAAGGCAAAGTTAAGAAACCTTTGTAAAGGATGCACCGCAAAAGCGTATACATGCGGTGCTTGTGCGTTTCCCCAATACCTTCGTTCAGGGTAGTTCATGGTTAATACTATGTGATGGAATCAGTCCCGACTCTCATTTTATTTTTAATCTGGAGCTTTTCGTGTAAAATCCAGAAAGGTATTGATGACGTATTGCTGACATCTGTTTTAAAGCATTTTAAAGATTATCTCAATTAAAAAATATATCTTTATCTATAAATCTGTTCATAACTCTCCTTGATATGTGTTAATGTATTATTGTTTTTCATTGCTACGAATATCTGTTTGAAGGATGGAAACAGATAGGTTACCAAATTGACTATAATCCACAATGAAGTCACGTTAATATCTTTGAGGACTTGAGAGAGTTTCAAAATCCGACGCCTGTTATTTTGTGGAATATTGGCATAACTAAAGCGATTCTATGGGCCTTTTTCGTAATGTAATAATATTTAATACAGTCTTTGTTAAGTCTCTCGTTACAAATTATTGTATTAACGTGTTGAGAATAATTGTATTTCAGTAGTCAGAACGCAAATTACAAATGTATACCTGTCGTTAGGTAAGGACAGCCCTAACGTTTATCCTACATAACAACATGTAATGTATGTAAGTTTAATAATGACAATAAAACCACATTTAGTTGTAACAGGTGAATTCTCATCGAGGCACTTCACAAAAGCATCTGCATATTAGTTGTGGCTGTTTGACCAATCATGTCGTTCTTTCATTCTTGTACAGAACGTAAACATGGTAAGTAGAGGAACAATGACTAACCTATGTGGTGCTGACTTGGGTGTCCCTGATCGCCTGGAAGGTGAGTCCGGAGCGAGCAAGAAGTTACCCTCACTGTTAACAGGAGATGCTGCCTGCTGCGGTTTCATCTTAGAGGGCGTCCCTTTAGGACTGACAGAAGACATCATTGAGGTTACCGACCCTCGACGGGACGACATGTCCGTCGTGGACCCGGTTAACTTGGCAGCACACTTGATGGTCTGGTAGATGGGATCAACTGGTTCTATGCAAAAAGAATAGAATAGAATGATAAGATATTAACTCATAGCCTGCCAAAAGGCTGCATGCACGCTATCGCTATAGTGCTTTGTACATGCGAGCAAACCATTGCTATGCTGCCATGTGCGTGCTTGCACACATTCGTAGTAGCAGTTATTGTTCATGCTCACTGTAGTGTGCTGTGTGTTTTGCACTCGCTATTCATAGAACCATCGCGTTAATCAGATTATCTCAATATAAACTTGGCACTGGGGGATTTGGGGCTTGGCACAATAGGGATTAGACCTGTGGCATGATAACAGTTAAAATGGTGTATTTCTCAAAAGTATTTACCAATAGTTATAATAACTATATTTGCTGATAGAGCGCATACCACTTACTGTATTAAAAGTCTCTAAGTGCTTTACAATAATGCAGCATAATTACCCTGGTTTATGCAGTGCAGCTATCACGCGCGCTGCGTTTCAAGGATTAATTCCTACCTGGTTCCCATTTACTTCACGTGGGTGGAGTGTGGCAATGTGCTTTATTGTCTTTGCAATGAACAAATTTAAAGAATGGCGGAATGCTTACCTTCTCTAATGGCGCCCTTCATATCACTTAAGCTCCTTGTATCAAGATCGGTGGTACTCTTCTGTCTTCTCAACATCTTCCTCTTGTCAGGCTTTAATGGTAAAGATAAATTATAATTAGATCAATTTATATAGTAGCGCACCTACTATATGAATATACTATAATGCGCTGTGGTGAAAGCAAAACTCCTAACCTACTTTACAAAGACACAATCAATAATTATAAACAAAACAGCAACAGATTAGGCTTTTCCTATTTCTAGTGGTTATGCTAAAAAGTTATGCGGAAGGTGACAACTAATTTGTGACTTGTTTTCCCCGTTATATTTATGTCAGTGTGAAGAGTATCATAAAAAGGTGTCCCCAGAGAAAAAGCATGGTTTTCCAAATGCCCATATATTTAAAATATGATGATTAAAAGCCGAAGGTTGTGGACTACACGTTCATGCCACACGTTTGTGGGGTCCCGAATACATATTGCTATGTACAAAGCATGTGACTTGTAGCAAGACTGGGACAATTTCTCATAATTCTAAAGATTCTAAAAGCTCATGATATACACCACTACTTATCTGCTACATGGACAACCTTTTTAAATCAATTCCATATTTTCTTTTCCAATGTAAACTGAAATTTATCGGAGCAGTATGAACAGCAGTACATACAAATAATGATATTTCACATTTTAAGGGTTTGAAAGTATTATAACAGATAATGTTTAACGTTTCTAAGTTCTATTTGGTATATGTTGTTATAATTCCAAACATTAAGTTCAAATACAGCAAGGACAGGTGTTTCAAAACAAATATCATTGAAATAACGAAATAAAGAAACAGGTCAGTGAAAAAATGTGTAATGTTATATCATATTGGTATATGAACTTTCTTGTCATCCATTTTGTCTTCTTTTAAAATCGTGTCCATGTGTCTAATTTCTTAGGCTAATTCAATTGTGTTTAACAAGTTGTATCTAACACATGATTATTGAAACTGCAAATACGATTTTAGAAAAAGAAATTATCAAAAAGGAAACACGTATGGCATGCAATATTGGAATTACTTATTTCAACACAGCAGTGGTATACATAAGAAATAAAATGCTTTATGTTTATAGACAGACATGCTGAAAAAGGAGACAAGCATTTACATTAATTTTTAATTAATATAAAGATGCGAACTAAGAAAAGCAATCTGATCTAAAGAAATAGTCGAGAGGAGCATGCTATAAGCTTCTAAAATCATTCCAAGCTTTTCTTTTAATACGAGTTTAAATATTTGACAATGAATTCTTTAGCGGTTGAAGATGTGAATAGAACCACAAAAACATATACGGCAGAATACAGGAACGTACAAAGGTTTATACATCTGTATTGTAGGTATCGTGGTCTAATGGATAAGCCTCTGGTCTATGGATTACATGACTCGCGATTCTAGCGGCACTAATGTCATTTGACAGGACATTTATTTACAATTGGTACCTGGCTGACATCAATTCCTTGTACTAGAGCGCCATTAATGGCAGTCGTACTAAAGCTAGGGTAATAGGGACTTTTAGATTTGCGTGGACTGATACGTGTGACGTCCATTCAAGGCAGTGCATTAAAAGGACGTCGACCGTAGCAATCCACATTGTCTTCGTGCAAATCTAAAAGTCCCTAATAATTGTGGAGCGCCATGAGTGTCAAAGGTGGCAGACAAGAGCGCTATACAATAACCCACTTCAATAATTACAATGCTAAGCGTATTCAAAGATCTAACAAACTTTAAAAGAGCGCGAGGCTTATATGGTTGTAGACGATTAAGCCAAGAACCTGAAGTCCCAAGCCCCTCCAAGCAGATCAAGATAGTTAGACGAACCCGGTTGTCTGCACTGTTGGGCTAGCACAAAAAAAATAATAAGTTACGCCATGTTGTGAACAACTGACACGAAGTTGGCTAAAATCTGTGTATGGATAGATGGAGCTTCTCTTACTAAGCACCCCCCCCCCCATAACAATAACCCTAGCAATCATTCCTCTAGAACCAATGTATTTCACATTGATTCTAAACTGATCGATTGTTTGGATTTCGGAGTAGTGTAATTTTTTTGTTCGGTCTTGTGTAGGTCCGGTGTCGGTATCGTTGGTATGACTGATGTATAAGGCCATTGTTCTACCTATTTAGAACTTCTGTGTTCAATTTTGAAAATATAAAATGAATTGATTTACCGCTGATATACCTTTTTGTTTGTATTTTTTGGTAAGAAACCAGAAAAGGGCGTTGGGGATTGCGATAAACCGCATGGTACGCATAATGGTTCTTGAATATCCAAATGGAAATTGTTTTCTTTTTCTTTTCAACGACAAACTAGACCAAAGTGCTATACCGATGAATACAAATTAATTATCTCTCTCTTTTTCCATAACAAATAATTGAAGGAAGCATTAACAGTGATTGCTTTTCAATGTACCAGCTTTTTTACATCATGATCTATGAAAAACACATTTGTCCATTTTTAATACTATTCTGCGTCTATTACGGAATAAGAGGGGCATGCAACAAAGATATATGAACTTTTGGAAAAAGAAGGATGGGAAAGCGACGGGCTTTTAGAACCTATTTAAAATATGTCACTACATAATGATCATGCGATTTACTTCTATTTGAGCACACGCAATAATATTTCCGAAGCAAATTCTATGTCTGAGCACATGCTTTGTCTATACACTTTTCTGTTTCTTCTTTTTAGGTGAGGGAACGCATAGGGCTAAAATATTTACAATCGAAAAATACAGTCAAACATGTCTATTGACGCCTTCAAGAGAAACAGAGGAAGAAAACACTTTAGACGGGTGGCCTTTCTAGACACGTTCTACAATGCGTATTTCCATACCAAGGAAAACAAAATGCATGGCCAGTATAGACAGGTTGCCTTTATTTAGAGATGGCCATTGATAAAGGTTTGACTGTATTATATTAAATATATGTGTAAGCATGGCCTTTAATGGAAGACAAGGGATGGGGGAGGGGTACAGGGACAAAGATAGAAGTAGGGCTATAAACATATGCATGTTCAATGGTTTCTGCATTCCCATTGTATCATGCAGCGAAATGAAGGCGGATGCTAGAAGACAGAAAAGCTTTCGAGAAAAAAGGAAACAAAATTAAGATTTCCCAGTACCAGATTGCGTATCTCTCGCACACTCATTTGTCGAACAAACATCTTCTTCACGCTACGAGATTCTTGCTGTAATGTGAATAACAAGATAAAACACAGTGTCATCGCTACAAACCTCTACAGAAATACAACTGATAAAACATAAAACACATACTATCAACAATTGTTGCGTTTTTACTTTAAAAACACTTAACCCCAAATCTAACCCTGACGCTGGGCTTAAACTTCTATTCAACTATGGGTTGAACGTTTTGTTTTCGAATTCACGAAAGGTAATACCCGACCCTTTGGGAATTAGGGCTTGATTATTTATTAAACTTCGTGTAACCACAAGACGCGAAGACCCAATAGAACGACATTAGCCTCCTGATATGACGGCAGATCATGATTCAGGAATCACAATAGTACCCTATACTAAACGAATAGCTGTTATTTCTTGAGGTAAATACAACAAGGGTATTATTAAATTTTGTACACAAGTGCTGATATATAAGTTCGTTATTAAAGTTAGCTCCAGGATACGGTCATGATTATAAATCAATAATTCAATGTCAAATTAAATTATCATTGGAAACTATGATTGCAAATACTTTCAAGAAATCAACCAAAGGTAACTTCAAAAGCCCAGTATATCATTCTTTTAAATTTGAGAACATTTTACTTCAAATATTGACTGCTACATGCAGAGGTCAATTTAAATAGATACCGATCAATTCAGAGTTCCAGAGTGATGTCATTTTTCAGCGACACCGCGCGCCAAGGTTGGAATATACCATCTTATTTAACGACATATTACCAGTGGTTACACAATCAGATTATTGTCATTTCTCTTTGAGTTGACTTTTAAGAAAAACCTTGTGATTGATTTGATTGTCTATTCAAAACATACACGCAATTTATCCATTTCAAATCAATGTAGATTTTAATTGCTTCAAAAGCGCATTAAAATAAAGCAGGTCATCTTTTCACGAAATCAAGCACAAGTTCAAAGGCATCCCAATGAGATGCGTGTGAACTTAGGATGTCGGGGAAGTTGTACCTGCGATGGTTTTGTGACACGCTGCCCCTGTCACATTTGTAAGATCGCAATGAATCTTAAACAGTTATTGTTTGTTTAGAGGAAAAACACAATGTTATAGCAAGAGAAAGAAAAACAAGTTTTGGAGAATAATTGCAAGAATACCCAGGAACCGGGATCCCGAAAGTTAAAACGCCTAGAAATCCGCCTTGGATTATCAAACTGGAAAGACAAAGAACATGAATTGTATTATGAACGAAAATAGTACTAACCATATGAAAAGCTAAATACAAAAAGCTATGACGACTGACCTTCAAGTAACACAAATTGAAATTAGTCAATAAGATTGAAGAAAAAAATCGTGCCTGTGGAAAGCCCATCCACCAAGCACGATAATTGAACGCCTTTTGGGGGGAATACACATTTAGAAACTTAACTCTTAATGTTTTGGTATGGTAAATGTTACATTATAAACTCTCTTTGGTATAGCAATACCATTGCTATGAGATTAGGAAATTGATATGAATAAACATAATTATTAAAAACAAAACTGACCAACTTTACAGATATTCAGAAGAACCCCCAATTTATAAATTGTTCCAAATCTTTAAGATTTTAAGACGTATCGAACTTTTAATTCTATAAAAAAAATGACTCGATCCTTTAGAATGAAATAAAAAGAAAGATATTTACTGTTGCAGGACCGGAACATGATGAGACGGATTCCATGCATCTGTGATGAACGTTGGCCTTACATACTTTACATCGTAGACCTTGTCTCATAATACCTGGAGATTAAAGAGAGAAAAGACGGTCTATACTTCGTACAGCAAGAACAGAAGAAAAAACAACTGAATAAAGCAAATTAAAGCAAAACATAATACAAACATAACGAGAAATTAAGGAAGACTAAATATGAACAGAACGAAACATGAAGCTAGACCAAACAAAACAAGATACAATTCAACAAAAAGCTAAACAATAAAACGCTTATACCATTTAGTTCTCTGTTGTTTGGTATAACGCTTAGATAGATATAAAAATATTAATTAAATATTATCATTTTATTATTATGTAGCATTTATCATATCCCATCAATGTTACTATATTAATAAGAGCCATATGTCTTGTAATTTTCTTTTTTTGTTTGTATTTCTGAAATTATCATGTTATTTGTACTAAGCATTTTTTTAAATACTGAATGTCTTGCCTTACAAATAAAAATAAAATTACCAAAACAAATGATTGAATGCCTGTTTTATTATTTGTGGCTTCTGTAATGCATTAACAATTCATGTGTAATTTATTAATTGATAATTTTACAATTCATTAACTTATTTAAGATTAAGCAGAACCATCACTGAAAGGGTAACAATAAATTGATTCTGGCTACTGGTATCTTTCACATAGCCTTGAAGAAAAGTAAAAGAGAAACCCAGAACCTGAAAATTAATCAATTTTGGTGTAAATCTGGATTTCTGCTGTCCAGATTGAAATACTATTGGAAATGTGGTTAACAACAAGCTTCCGATAAGATGATCCTGTAATCCGCTAACAACAATGAATATACAAATTTAAGTTTATGATACAATGTTTAGATCGGTTTTAAATTCAAGAATGAAAAACAAAAACAAGATAGGCCCCCTCTCCTCGATAGGAACTATAAAATGTATCTCATTATTATATTTTTGCAAATTTCGTAAGGTACTTCAACCGTCACTTACAAACTTGAAAACACGTAGGATGCTTTCTTTGCATCTATCAGCGGTTGTCCGTTTGCCACACGCGCAATTGTGCACAAAACAATATGTATCCATTAACGGAATTAATGGTGTTTTCGTTACAATTTCCTACACAATCGCTTTGAAAATTTAATTAAATCAGGAACCTTGAAATATTTGGTATCATCTTTTAAATGGTAAAATGCAAAATGGCACTGGAAGATTATTTGTGCGACATTATCTCATCGAGGGCTATTTTGGCGAAGCAACTCGCACACTGTCTGTCTATTGACTGGTGTACCACTAACGTCTCACCTTTCAGCATGCCCTTACAATCGTCACAAAATGTTGGTTTGATAAAGTTATATTCCTGGAAGACGTGCGACTTTGAGTTGATTGAGCCATTACTTGACACCCCCATTTCTCGAATGGAATCGCCTGATTCAGAAGCCCGTCTCTCGGGAGAAGCCATGACAGTATGACCATTGCTTAGACGAGTCTTGAACCAGTCGGGTGAAAATAACAGAAGCTTGAGCAAGGAAATGAAAACAAAATCATTAAATAAGATTTGTCTTTTTGTAAAACAATATGAAACAATTAGCAGTAATTTAGTTGGAAATACATATTTATACATGTTTATGGAAATGTTCAAACCAGATCAAGGTTAAATCTGAAATTGCTAATTTTATTCATCCACCTTAAATTTTGAGACGTGGAGTATTATTTAAATATGATAGTAAGAATGCTATTAATTAACTAGTGATTCATTCCACTTTTCGCATAACAGATGGATTAGTATTGATGCGTAAGCAGCCTCTTTCAGCAATGTTCGAAAGAAAGAGGTCAGAATGGTACGACTAATTGGTTTTAGAGGTAATACCGGCTGATTTATTTCCAATTCGCAAGATTATACCTGTACTATACACACCAAGAGCAAACGGTAACAAAACTACTAACAGCCTTTTCACACACAGCTAAAATTCATCGTATCTAGAGATGATTAGAATCACTCAACAGTTTTAAACATGTTTATAGACAAAATTTCCCAGTGTGAACATCGTTTATACGATGTTGGGGTAGATACGAAGTCGCGATCCATACGCCCCTAGCAGCCTTTTCACACACAGCTAAAATTCTATAAACATGACTAGTATAAACGTGTTTCGAACGTGTTTAAACTAATCACGAGCCTTTCACACACAGAAATTTCGTTGCGATCGTTAATAGTTTCGTGATTAACTACTGCTCGTAAAATGCGCAGTAGTGCCATTGCGCATTGAAGGTCGTGTCATGTCAATCAAAGCGCACGCTCCATCCAGTTTAAACACGTTTAAACACGAATTTCCTTTCACACACAAAATGTCAAGCTCTCTAGATACGAACTTCGTATCTGCAGCCTGCTTTTAGCGGCGTATGGATCGCGACTTCGTATCTATCCCAACATCGTATAAACGATGTTCACACTGGGAAATTTTGTCTATAAACATGTTTAAAACTGTTGGGTGATTCTAATCATCTCTAGATACGATGAATTTTAGCTGTGTGTGAAAAGGCTGCCTAAAAGCAGGCTGCAGATACGAAGTTCGTATCTAGAGAGCTTGACATTTTGTGTGTGAAAGGAAATTCGTGTTTAAATGTGTTTAAACTGGATGGAGCGTGCGCTTTGATTGATATGACATGACCTTCAATGCGCAATGGCACTACTGCGCATTTTACGAGCAGTAGTTAATCACGAAACTATTAACGATCGCATCGAAATTTCTGTGTGTGAAAGGCTCGTGATTAGTTTAAACACGTTTCAAACACGTTTATACTAATCATGTTTATAGAATTTTAGCTGTGTGTGAAAAGGCTGTAATTATAACCCTTTCTTTCTTTCTTTCATTTCTGTTTGCATTCCAGATTGTTTGTTTCGTGAATTCAAGACTTGGACATTGTAATATCCCTTCTTTATCTCTTGATTGTCATATTTGCTGGAAGATTGTTTTTTCCGCCCCCGATTGATCCTGACTAATATCAGGGCTCTGTTTTTTAAAACCTGTCACTAACAAATTACCTGAAAAATAATGTATTTAATTGGCAGTGAACAATGGTCAATGTTGACACTATTTTTGTTGTTTTGTTTTTTTTAGCTCAAAGCCCTGTACACGATGTGAAGGGCTTACTCCGAATCATGGGACATCGCAACGGGTCGGGTGTTGGCGCTACCTTTGTGAAAACCCTACGGCAAAACTACGAAAGGACGTGTCCTTAAACTGCATCTTCACATAATCTTCCGCTTATGCATGTTTCACGAAAAGTCGTGAAACGCGACTACCAGACCAGACGCGATGACCCGATGATTCGAAGTAACTAACCGATCTGAAGATGACAAGAAGGAGACGGTTCTAGGACATGTACCCTCTGAACACCCACCCCCCGGTTAACCACCCCAGTCAACTACCCCCTAGGGCAACTACCACCTAAATGCAACCACCCTCAAGGATGACCTCCGGGACAGCTACCCCCAGACAACTACCCCCTGGACAATTATTGCCTAGAACAACTACCCCCGGACAACTATCCCTGGAAAACAATTCCCTAGAAAAACTACCCCGGACAACTATCCCCTGGACAACTATTCCCTAGAACAACTACCCTCCGGACAACTTACCCCGGACAACTATTCCCTACGACAACCATCCTCTAGGATAACTACCCTTGGGACAACTATCCTACGAAAGGAGACGAAAGGAGACACATACCTGGGCTCTCTTGCAGGCGAGATTCGTCTCGTTCTGTCTGTTGCCATTGCGTAACTTGTGAATCTCCAGTAACGTTTCGTGTGCTTTACTTGATTGATTCGACTTGATGCTAACAAACAAACAAACAAATACAAAATACAAACTCCAACCCGAAAATGGATAACCAGGGATTTCTTTGAGAGGTTCTAAAACTGTTTAACTTTGGAGGTACCTTTATTGGTAACATTTATGCGATATTTTTTCTTCTTCAATGAAATGTGATGTAGTTGATAATGGATATATTAACAAAACCCATACATATGGGAAGAGGAATATTTCGGTGTTATCCCATTTCTGTTTCTTTTGGTATTGGAAACAATGGTTCTTGCAGTAAGACAGCATAATAATAAGTATCCCTATCCAAGAAAGAGAATTCAGCATGACATCGTTGGCTGGTGATTCTTTGTGTTTTCTTGATGGCTTCTTAAATTCATTTGTTAATCTTTATGAAATACTACACCAATTTGCAACTTGTTTTGGTTTTTGATATAATTTATTGAAATCAGAAGAAATATCGATTGGTAATAAAATATGATTCCCAATTCATGCTTTCTATGAAAGGGGCCTTCGGTGTATGATCTTACTCATAAACTTCAAATAAAGCAAATTGAAATTTCTTGAATTGTTGGCAATATTTCTAATATCGATTATTAGAAAGATTCGTGTTGTTCAGACCCTACTATTGCCAAAGTTACTTTACTTGTTTTCTGTTGTATGTATCAAGATTCCAATCTAATTGATACATCTTAATACACTATTGTACGTATTTATTTGGAATGGGGGCGACGATAGAGTCAAGTAGAATTTCTTTTGTAATGATGTGTCACTGGGTAGTGGGTACACTGCTCATGATCGATTCCTTCGTACTTTGTTTAGTGGAAGTAATGGTTTGGTGTTACTTTTGTATTGGATGCTGATTATGTAATACATCTGTTTGCCACCATTGCACATGCATACACCGATCTACTGCTCAGACCCGTACTACACGTGATTATAATACCTTTCATATTGCCTCTTTAACCTGTTGGTCTGGTCTTTGACGACATTTATTTCCGTCTCCAATGTTTGGATCTGAAAATGAAAGAAAGACAAATCAGATTCCGAAGTTAAACTTCCATGATTTGGATCAAGCAATGACAAGGGCTTCTTCGTTTTGACTGCTATCTACTTTCCTTTTTCGTATCATTTTCAAATCATTTCGTCCTTATTAAAACGATACGATTATATAATGTTCAAAATACAGACATGACAAAATATAAATGGCTTGTTACAAATGTTGCACGCAGGATCATGTACATAACCAATCCATGCATGTTTATTTTAAATTCATATTGCGAATTTGTTTTTAATTGATGTTCTGTTTTGGGGTCATTTGAGCTTTATTATAAAGTTGTAAAACATGTTGCTTGGGTTGTACCATTGGTAAAGCTCTCAGAATGTTACCTATGTTTCAGTATCCCCGCCATGAAACGTATCGATGGTATTTCATTTGAAATATAAAATTGATTATATTTGCAAGTCAGCTGTCATACTTAACCAACTAATACTATCACGCAACAAGGAGAAGTGATCATTACTTTATTGTTCGGTCAGTTTGAAATACGAAAAACAACAAAATAACAGAAAACAAACAAACAATCATAATCACCTCTTTGGCGAGTGAGTCATACTTTTCTTTTAAGACGCCCTCAGTGGCAGAGTTAAGCACCAGTTTATTTAAAGCAAAATCCTAGTGAAAGATTGAGGGGTAAAGATCATAAGAACAGCTGTTTATGAAATGGATGTATCAAGTTATCATACAGTAAGAAGAAGGAGAAATACAAATTGACTAAATCAAAGATAACGAGAACCGACGAAGCATGACACAGTGTATTCGCTAATCTATAGGCCGAGACATAAGCCGGTGGCTCTTATCCTTTTTGTGTATACATTTATCTTCTTCTTCTCCTCCTTCTTCTACTTCTTCTTTATGATTCATCTTCCTCTCATCTTCTCTTCATCCTTCTCCTTCTCTTTCTTCTTCTCCTCCTTCTGTTCATTTGTCTTTTTTCTATTTAGTTTCTTCCTTTTCTATGTTAGGACTTACACACGGGGGGGGGGGGAGATGTTTTAATCTCACTCCCCTATCCGATCCGAAGCCCTGATGCATTTTGCCTACTGCATATCGATTGCCTGGCCCCAAAAGGGGCCATCCTCTTTCATGGACATAATTTCTCGTAATATTTGTCCTAAGTAAGAAAAGATTCATGATAAATTCATGATTGAAATGAGCCAGTGGCGTCAAAGAGTGATCTCCATCTCGACAGCTGACGTCACATGATGGTGATGATGATGAAAATATCGATTCGTCCAAACATGTATGTTGTTTTTCTTACCCCTCCGGCTGTTGGCTGGGGTTTGCTGAAGGAATATTGCTTTGCTTCAAAGGACTCGGGGTTACCCTTCGGCTTCTCGGATGCTGACCTCTTCGAGATGACCTCAAGTTTCCGAATCTGATCCGATAACTTGCGAAAAATAAAAACGTGTACGGTAAAAAGGATAAATTGTGATCAACTTTCGTTTTCAAAGTCACGCACATTTTTAAAGTGTACTAATCACATGAAATAGATAATATTTGTAAACCTAGAATGCATAAAATCAACCGCATAAAAACAACACTTCCTCTGCGTTAAAGGCTAAAGCGTATAAAGAAACTAAAGGCTAAGACCACCAACATAAAAGCGCACGGAAGATAAGTCCAGCGTGGGTTCCGTGCGCCGAGCAACGACCAATCTAGGCAACGAGTCATTATTTTGTATATACTAACATAGTTTTGAGACTGCCACATCTCTTTGCAAAAGTAATATTTCAAGCTCATATTTCAAAAACAGTGTAGCGACATGGAACCCCTCACGTCTAATGGTGATTGGTATACTTTTACCCTTTCTTTGCCACACGTGCCAAAATGCACAAAGTAAAATTAAAAAAAATGGATTTACACAGATTGTTTTCAATACAACATACAATGATCGATTACTCTTGGATCACGTTTTAGCAATATACCTATATTGAATGTTATGAAAGAAGTGAATAATATTTGTTGGAACTGTACCGCTAAGTAGATTACATGTCAAAATAAAGTTTGCCTTCATCAACACTGTCTGTTTTCATTAGTTATGATGTGACGCCATCCTAAACTACTTTATAATTACCTTTGATATAAGGATTTTGGAGTGCCATGATAAACCTGATATTCCTGATTCTGATATTTCGTGACGTATGAGATCTGCATCCTGGAATACAAAATAGTAATAACAATAACAACTTCAGCAACGATAATGATAAAAATGATAGTACTACAAATAATAACAGTAATACAATTAATAGTATTGATAATAGTTACGATCATAATAATGATAATACTACTACTACTACTACTATATAGCGCTGAATACAAATGTCTCTAAGCGCTTTACAGATATACTATTACTATCATAATTTTCATGATGAATAATAATGATAATACAAATGCACTTTCTCCCTCCTTTATGTTATTATTTCAATATTATGCCTATTTGTGAAAAAAATCATACTGGACCACACGGAAAATAGCACCGTCTCCAAAGCAATTTTACAATAAATGTACACGTTTAAAGTTAGGAATGTAACGCGAATATTTAGTAGTTTCGGCTGTTAGAAAACAGTAATCGTTTTCCTTCGCAATGCAAGTGAATAGGAAACACATAAATTACCAAAGCATTTCATGCACGTTCATATTACTATTTAAAACTTTAAATACATAAATAAATAACTAAATTAATTTACAAATAGTTAAATGGATGAACTAGCAGACTAAGCTTTTTTCAGCAGGTAATGGAATTCATATCTCAAAAATATTTCTGTTCAAATAACACTCTTAGTGCACACGCTTCTCCCTCAGATTTTGCCATACCAATTTGACAACATGCTTCGTGAAACTATACGCTATTTACTAATGAATTTATGATGATTGCCAAAGATGACTGATTTAAGGATATTTCTGTGTTTCATCAAATTTGTGTTATTCTCCCAGCAGTAAATATTACAAGTTATGTGCTCATAATAATAATAATAATAATATGTATTTTTTTATATAGCGCTTAATACAAATGAATACAAAATGACTACTTACAGAGTTGACTTTTGGAAGCACTGCGGTAGATAGAGAAACATTGAACTGGTTTGCTGTCGTCAGCTGAAGAACGTAATCATTTAATCTATTGTAGCAGAATGCCGTATTGTGATTCTGTATACCAAAATATACAACAAATAAAATATCATCATGGATATGGGCATTTCAGTTGACCAACGCTAGAATCCTTTGAAAATAGATAACTTAAGCTCTCGAGAGCAACTGGTTTGATATGTTGGTTTGTTTTGCCTGACTGCTTAGAGAGCCTGCGTATGCTTGTTAGTGAGCAACCAGGTGATCGATATGTTTAAGTCCTCTCCGAGGGACTTGGTCATAAGGATTAATGCCTTACAAAGGGCACTGGCGCATTACATTTGTTCTACAAAAAAGCTAGCGCACCTCCGATTAATACATTCACAAGTCGATCTAAATAGTTTATTTCTACTCGTCCACTATTTCTCGTTTAAAATGTATGCCTGTATAATTATATATCCCTTATTACCAGCTATTTAATTGTCCATTTTTCTAAGTGGGGCAAACATTTGTTAAAGCCGTTTGATTCAATTAATAAAAGGTGGATAGTTACACAATTTGCATATAAACCGAAATAACATCTGAGAACAAAGTAAACAGTAAAACGACTTGAATTTAATTCTCAATTTCCTATAAGCTTAATAAGGCCACCAAGTTCCAGTAGGATTAGGATGAAAAATAATAACTACCTTTTTACTGTTCATCCCATCTTTGGACATTTTTGACCAGCTCTCGATGTATTCCTTTTCGCTCTGTATTATAAATAAAACAATGAGCAGATGGAAGTGCATGCCGATATGAAAGTTATTAAATTAGATAATGTTGCCATCAACGATTTATTTAATTTTCGTTTCATCATCCATTTCCACTTCAAGATAAAACAGTTTTATAAAATATTCATAATACAAAGAAATATATGAAAAGATATCTGAAAACACATAAATGGCTTGTTTAAGAGCCACACGTGCACTTTTACAGGAACAAAATAGGTGTCGATTGACAGAAGAGTTTGCTTAATGCAAGACAATGGCTTTCAAAATAATCTTCGGTCTCGATTAGCTTAATCGAATCTTTCTTAAGAATGATTGGTTTCTTTTCTGCACTGCAAACTGTTATATAATGTTTAATCATTGAGTAAATGTTAAATACAATGGGGCACAGGGGGATATTTTGTATGGCATATACACATATATAAATGTAATTTTACCTTGTCAATGATGGCATCCAGTGATTCGGATTGTTTGAGATAATCATCATGATACACATCTAACATCTTCACAAGTTGCTGTTTGTATTTCGCTGACTCCACCAGCTGATCGGTGACAGACGCCTCTATAGCCTCACCAAGGTCACTATGATCCTGTACAAGAAAATAAAATAGGTGAATTCATCCGTTCCATTTTGTATACACTCGTAAAAGCTTTGTTTCCGGACCTAGCACGTTCTACAGGTAACAATAGGGACTTTTAGATTCTCACGAAGACAATAGGTCTATGCTACGATCGACGTCCTTGTAATGCACTGCCTTCAATGGACGTCACACGTATCAGTCCACGCAAATCTAAAAGTCCCTAATAACATTTACATGGTAATACAAACCCCTCGTTACAATACCTCTTTAACCTTCAACCCTTCAGTCGCTTTATTCGTCGCTCATATGCCCCACGCGCAATTTCGCACAAATTCAATATGCACCAATTGACTTAAAGGCTTTTGTAAATTTAGCCATATTGGCCCGAATTCACAAAGCAAGGTTTGAGCTCAGACCAAGGTTTGAGCTCAAACCTCCTTTTGTTTCGCCAAACCTCCTTTTGTTATTTAGAAAACCTGTTGTAAATAACAAAAGGAGGTTTGGCGACACAAAAGGAGGTTTGACCTCAAACCTTGGTCTGAGCTCAAACCTTGCTTTGTGAATTCGGGCCATTGGGTCTTGATTCGATCCCTAAAAAACCCAGTTAAGATTGATCTTGCACTGGAAACATTTAAATATTGGCACCTGTTGTATTTTTATCCGATTATAAATACAATGCGGAACAGGGGGATTATTTATGTGGCATATAATGAGTTAATCCTGCTAGAATCCCGCCGCTTTAAATGCTTTTACGCTTTACGTAATTCGTTCCGGGGTACCTATTGCTCCTATTTCGATAATCTGTGTAATAAATAGTATAGACTTTGTGCGCAAATGAAATAGATGAACGACATATATGAATAAACAACTAAATGAATCATCCAGTGTAATTTAATAAATATTTTATCAAAGATTATATTTCATAATGTGCCAAATTAAACAGATACGATGGCCAAAAGTCGATACAAAAACACTGGATTAAATGATGCCATTCAACATATAATTTCCGTTTGTTATTTCAACCAATTGTTGAATAAACCCAAAATACATGCATACACAAAAAACATCATAACTGTACGTACTTGAGCTGCCGAACCATACGCATGTAAAACATTTTCCCAGACTGTGAAGAGATTTGTGCATTCTTTCCATCTGCCAAAATAAGAAAATAAATATAACAACAAAAAAATATCAAATAAATTTCAAGAGGTAGAGTAATGCTTATTTCAAAGTACAGTAATTAAAACATTTTTTTTCCTGAAATGGCAATGACAATCTGGCTTACTATTAATATATAATGTATATTTCTTCCCATAACTTTACCGATCCCTCCCTGTGACTTTCCAGTTTGATCAATACATGTCTAATAAAAGAATGAACTCTTTCTACCAAAAAGAAACACATTTACATTCATTTTTTTAAATTAATACTACTAATAATTGTGAACATTAACAATGCGCTATGTCTGTCCAAAATGTTGTTTATTGTAAATAAAAACATACTAAATAAAAAGTCAGGAGACTCATATAATTCAGTTTACAAATTAAAAATACATACAGGAATATAATTAATCAATACTTTTAGTAATCTTCATATTAATTACTGATAATTAACTTAACTAGTATCTAATATTGGTAAAATAGTACGTGCTGTAAGTATTCTATAACATTTAAAAAGTAAAATACGTTGTTACCATTTTCTAAATGTTTTTTTTTCAATTTTTGCATACATCTTCAAATTAATAAGTATTTTTTTAAAACCTAGTTAACATTTCTTTAGAAACATATTTCTATGTAGATGTAAATCACAAGAGATATGATAATACAAAATATAACAATTAGATTACATATACGAATACGTAAGAAGACTCTTTGAACCATAAAGAAAAACACTGTACTAAGTTGGAGCATTATGGATATTGAAATATTGATAGAAAAGAGATGTGCTTACCTCTCTTTGGCCAGTAGTGTTTTTTCTTTGAAGGTTTCTACCAATGACTGTAAACTGCGTGAGTAGTCTATGTGAGTACGAGCTATGGCGGTGTGAAACTCAGCCACTAGGATAAGAAAGTGAAACAAAGGTGAAAAACGAAGGTAACCATTAACTGAAGCTTTACAAGTCGATCATTTAAGCTCTTCTGGTTGTTGAACGAATGCATGTGAAACTGTCGTTGAAAGTTGGGTCATAGAGGAGATTTTCTTTCATGGAATTGTTTTATGAAATTGTAGTGCAATACCAACGCTGTCATTAGAAAAATGTTTTGTTAATGATCGTCCTGTCAGCTTAATAGTTGGCTCAATAATAATAACAAGTTATTATTCGTGCAAAAGATGACTCTCCCACCCTCTGGCAAAAGGTGATACATTTATAAGCACTCATGTTTCACGTCGTTATATTGTACACAATCAGTCGAGTTCCAATGATAACAATTTGAAGTTTGAATTGAATTTCTTTATTGTCATGCACAAAATAAAATGAAGGCATAGAAATCGTTTTACAGCTCACATTTGTATAAATATAACAATACATTAACATATCATAGACAGTAAGTACAAAAAACATAAATAACATAATAATGTAATATAATTTAACCTCTCTGTTGAGAGCCAGGGGAATTATTTGATTATTTGTACACCCCTGGCTCCCAACAGACAATACTAACTTAAATAGTAGAAAATGCACATGACAACAATCAATGTCATATAACATATAAATATAACAAGTCACAGCAAAGATCTAAAATCAATTATTCATCAATTGTTAAAAATTCCAGATAAAAAATAGTAATGATAATGATGATGATTATACTAATAATAATTAAAATTATATAACAAAATTATAAAAATAACTACAAAAAATAAGAATTAAACATAATAATAACGATAGTAATGGAGATCATAATAATAATGATGATGATAATAATGACAAAAACAATAATACAAATACAAATAAAGATATTAAAAGCAACCACTGGTCTGATATAGCTCATTTTGCATTATGACATAACGTCAATATGCGCTTCCAAATAAGTTTGGATTTATTATCTTGCCTCTGACTTCATGTTCGGTATTTATACGACCACGCGCCCAATAAATCTTCTCTATGACCAAGCTGCCTTAATACGGGTGAGTGCGGATGACACGAGGGTGTCGATTTATGAGACACTATGCCCGGGAATGATTCACTTACATACAAGACTGTCACTTTGATTTAATAGTGTCTCTTTAATTGAAGTAAGCCGCTTCAATCTCAAGTGAAACCATTCGTGTTGACTGTGTTCGACATTCCTATGCCAACCGTTGCAACCATATCAGTAGGCATAGGGAGCTCGTAGTGTTGTTAAGTTTATATTATGGCCCATATTGGACAGATAAAGATGGATATGAAAGATTAAACTACAACGGAAATCCCTGGAAGATGGGAGCTAAATACCAATGAAGTCAATTAAACTAAATATTATATATTCTTCCTGTCCGCCTTCTTTACTATTGGCACGTTTCGGTTATCGACTGAGTGAATGGTTACTAGTTGGGAAATGTTGATTAGTTCCCTGAATTGATTTTGTCTAGGGGGTGTTTTTTGTTAAAGAACCCTTTTTTAGAATATAATTTGTTTGTATTGTTTGTTTAAAACACTATCTACTGAAGATAGCGATGGGTGCAGCAGTGTCTTATAGGATGTCGTCTCTGTGCGTATACAGCCGAGCGCCGAGAGGCAAAGCGCCACAAGAACCGTACTACAATGAATAATTTGGAAGCTAAGCTTCAGGAAATGGGCTCATGATAGACCATAACGCACCATGGGAATTCACGTAGATCATGGTCATCGCAATTGGACTTTCATTCATCATATATCATCGTAAATCCCCTCGAGGAGAGGGTTATTAATCAAGTGTCAAGGACTAAACTCCTGAGGCGAAAACGGGGTCGAATCCATGTCGCAGAGTTTGCTTCAGAGAAAAATAATATTCAAGAGTTGTTAAAGGTATAGACCAGTTCTGGTCATGCGATTGCATTATGAAAGAAACGTTATGGAATCGATCAGAAAAGTTTATTATTTAGCATATAAGTATTGGTGTGTACTGCAAGGTTCTAGAATCATCAAAATGATAAGAAATTTGGCCCAGTGTTAATAAAGTAACCACAAACTGTACCAAACAAAATGTATATGGGACTACGCGATAGCTATCCAGCCTGGATAGATATAAGAAATTACCAAATACATCAATTAGTAGGCGGTTTCCCTGTCAAAATTTATATCATCACGTATAAGTAAAAACATATTCGTTCACATGATCGGTAATACGACCTTCCATTTATTTTGTTGAGAGGGGGCGTTTCCAAAACTGGTCTACACATTAAAGCCTTTCTTTCGTTTTATAATCCGTGACGAGAAGAAAATGAGAGAGAGAGAGAGAGAGAGAGAAAGACGTTGACACCTCAAATAGGGGAAACAAACACTTTGAATTGTTGTACTAAAACTATATCACTTTTGCTGCTTTTAAGTGTCGGCTTGCATGGTGATGTAGATACTCCCCCAAGAAAGATAACCGAGTCAGAGTCCTTTTCAGGACTCCTCTACCCTCTCTCTCTCTCTCTCTCTCTCTCTCACACACACACATGGTGCACCCGCAAACCTACTGTATAATCACTTATGTTTTAAAATGGTGAACATGAGCCGTTGATGATCTGTTAAATCTGCCACTGGGCTGAAAGCACGGAAGTAAAGACCCAACCTTTATCTTCTAACGATGTGCAGTGATTCATTCAATTAATGTAAGTTGATATAATAGGGGTTGGAGTCTCTCACCACTTCATATTATTGCATTTGGTCTTTTGGGGGTTTGCCTTGGTTTTAATTTCAGTATAAAACAACACGTATGTTTATACAAATGAACATAAACAAATAATAACAATTATTCAACAACATTACGGTTGGGTTGCTCCTTTTGGTTCCTCATTCTATTAATGTAATTGTTCTGTTCGTATTAGAGGCTGTAAATGGTCTTTCTTACCGGACTGCTAATATTGCATGTGTATGACTGTATTACGTAAAGGGGACCGACCGCTATAGGTTATCTCCGAGGGACCTGGTAATGGAGATGCATGGCTTTCCAAAAGATACAAGCGCATCCACCTGGTTTCAAATCCCATTTGCTACAATACTACTGCTCTACCACTGAGTCATTGCATGTACTCATTTATTATGCTTAAAGTCCCTTGGTATGGTATTCATGGTATGGTAATCATTTTCCAAATTACAATATGAAAAGCAATACAGCAAAATATAAACGTACATATATCAAGAATATAGTGAATGGCTAATATCAAGAATATAGTGAATGGCTGGATACCTCACTCAGCTGTATTAACATGACAAAACGGTTCTTCCTTGGGGCCCAGACATAATCAAATGGAAATGACATCCAGAAAAAAACAATACACATCTAAAATTGCAGGGAACCTGTCCTGTCCCATCCCTTCCCAACTACATTGGTACAAAAGTGACACACCTTCAAATATCAAAGAAAGCTAAAGTTCTTATATTCAAATCTTTGCCTACAATTATTTCAGTTATTTGACAATTTAATAAAAATAGGAAGGTCATTAAATTAACGTGACCCTTGATATGAACACATTTTTCGACAACACTCACTCTTTAGTTTTGGTAGTAGTAGCTTTCCCTGAGATCTTATAAAGTATGAGTAATAACAATATTTGAGGGTTTTATTTAAATAAGACTGAGCCAAACTTTGCAAAGATTCGTAGAATATCATATTTTAGTGCATTCAACTTCTGGACTGTAGGAAATTCCATCATATTTTAAGATGAATAACATTATTAGAAATACCATTGAAAGGATTAAATTTTGAAATAATGCGACCGGCTCTCTTTTGTATTTGTTTTATACGGTCAGTGTAATTTTTTTTTTGCTGAATCATATACAACATCAGCATAATCAAAAAGGGATAGATTATTAGTAGGAATTAAGAAAAATAATTGTTTGAACAAAACTCTGTTTATATAAAAATGCATTATTTTCTATTTATTTCACTTTGTACATTTTGGATTGTGGTAAATTTATAGTCATTAACAAAACTATATTAATAATAAATAGGATTAGTTATGACATCTGAGTCCTGACACGAAGTTTATACTAAAAAATCACTGGTAGCTTATTTCGAATGCCGGATTTAGGTCCAATGTAATGATTTCCGAAGCATGGATTGATCGGTAAGGATATCTCATTTCAGATAATTCAGAACGCTACATTAATATGTCCACTAAATATCATGCCTGGTGAAATCAATTACTTCCAATTTCATTTCCTATACCCTATTAGACATCAAACTCAAATTAAAATCACTCCAAACTTTTATCATCTAGCAAAGATATTATGTAAATCAACTTTGAACAAGATATGAGCTACCTGATTGAAATATAGTCCTATGCAGATTAATAGTATTTGTCAGACATTTAGGAATCTACTTACTGACAGTTAGACATTACACCCGTTGCATGTAGCCAGGAGAGAGGGCAAAATGTTATTATTCAACTTGCGAACCCCTAGCAAAATGAATGATTGATCTAAAGATGCAGTGATCTATTATTCATAGGTATCAACAGCAATAAACCATATCTTAGTTCTAGAACGCTCTCTACGTCAGAAAACCTTACCGTGAATCCAATGGGATAGCTAAATGCCACGACTACAGACCGTTCAGACTAGACAACATTTATATGAAACTGGTGAAAAGAAAAGTTGTTTACACCGTTGTCTAAAAAATGGACTAATGTTTTGTATTAACTCTTTTAATGAATAATTTATTTTTAATAAAAAAAGTTTATAACTTCTCAGAACGCAATTGGGAAATCTTAAGTTTCATAGTGAAGATTCAAAAATTAATTCTCAGTTGTAGTGAGAATAAATCATATTGGCAAAATCATTTCATGAAAACAGGGAAGAAAACAATATTCCAACGTTATGGGTAACAGTGTATTAATAATTAGTGTTTATCGAAAGACGCGTAGTGACTGGTTCACAACAAAGTATTAG